GACCAAAATAGCATTGGGCAAGGTTAATGAAACCTTATCGAAAGTATTCGCCATGCAGATCAACGAAACGGGCATTCCAAGCCAGGTATAATTGATGAAAAGGTAATAATGATAGTTATAAAGAAACACTCATTAGTAAGAGAATAAGTGACGATTGTCTATTTCCCACTCAAAACTGCACAGTGGGTGTGTCAGCTTCGGACATTCGCTGAAACGTCCTCGTGGGGAGAAATTGCTTCTAATGAGGGACATTTGGAAACCCTGTATTGCCTTCCGAAGAATCAAAAACATTTATTTGAAGGTATGACCTCGTAATACTAGATTGTGCTGCTTTTAAATATCCCTAGAAACAGTTTCACTTTTGTGGCTTTTTAATTGTTTTTAGAGTTAATAAGAATTGATCGGTGTTCGAATAAGACAAAAGCAATCCAACATAAACATATCTAATAAAACAAAGAACCCTCAAATTATGTAGGTAACAATTTGTGTATTACAGAAGTGAAATAAGAGTATTTAAGGAGGAAAAACGTCTGCATCTTAAATTATAATGTACGGGGAGAAGACTAATTAAACAATTAAAAAATATTTATTGAAATTCCATACAGTAAATACCCGGTTTATGAATGAAAGCAATAGAGCACAAATGAACTATGTATTGTAAAAATTCCATTGGTGAACATGCGGAACATATATTTGTTTGTTTATGATTTGTTGGCAAGAATCTCAATGAAAAGTTGACATGTTTCATGCTGCGAACATTTTTTAAGACATTTAGTAGTAAAATTGTTATTTGTTGTTGTTGTAGTTGTTATTTTTGTTTACTTCGATCGTTTCACTTCGTTCACATATTTTTTTAATGAGGATATTTAAATGATTATAGAAATGATATTCTCGTGTGTGTTAATTTTGAAGTTGGTTTTAATGGTATCGGTTTGAGATAAATTGTGCTCCACTGACATACTCCACGGCATTTGACATCTAGAAATACGTAATTTAACAAAAAAATGTGGCATCAAAAGTTCGTGTGATAACATTGTAGAGCGAATGCATCAAAGATAAATCAACCATATTAAATCACACACAGAGAGGTGCACTTAACTGAAATTGAATTTGGTTGAAACACAAAATGATCAGATTATTTGTTGAAACGTAAAATAAACAACGTTAGTTTGCAGACCGTTGAGAGTTAACGTTTTCCTCTCTACGTGACATGTAGTTAGCCCTATCTGTTGCTTGCACCTTCGTAGATCCAGCTCATCTTCTTTAGAGGCATAGGAACAACAAACTGTTTTTCAAATTCAGTACAGAGAATAAGTATTTAAAAACATTTTAATTTTATTTGAGAGTAATAGAAAAACCTGTTAACTTTCAGATGCAATAGGCGACGGGAAACTTAGAGAGTTAATATCAGAATCGAAACAAATTAACGAAATGTTGCGTTGGAAAATGCAGGATGTTGACCCCGTTCGTGACGTTGTTCATCCTTTTGAAATCAAAATACTTCAGCCACATGAGTATATTCAGAGTCTGAAACTTTCAGAAGAATCTTTGGAATCAAATGACACTGCCAACAAAGATACAATCGCTAACTATACTCTCAAGGATCTACATCGAGAAGAGAATTCTCAGCCAGAGTTTATAAACGTGTCTACTGATGTTAATGCTGTCAAAGGAAGTATTCCTCAAGAACAGTCGGATTCTCTTTTGCCGAACAGACATATTATATCCAATATTGCAGAAGAGCAATCGGCCATTGCAAGTCAAGGGGGCCTGGAGGCCACTTCGAAGTTGACTGCAACGAATCTTTCTTCTTTGCAAAATATTGCAGATGAAGCAGATGTTTCTAGGAAGTCTCCTGGTCAAGGTAGTCGGAAAAGAAAGAACAGACGCTTTATTTCTACTGAAAGAAACATTATTTCAAATCAGATTCTTGGAAGCAAATCTGGGAACTTAAAGAAGAAAATGAAAAGGTCTGTCATCGGTTCAGACCGTTACATTAACGAACATAAGATGCGTGTGGGCAATAAAAGAAGGTTCGTCTCAGGTGCGAGCGACGACATTGGGAAGCAAACGGAAGGCGAGGCACTCGAAACCAGAAAAGAAGAATCATCCAATTCTGGCGGTGGAAGAACGTTTGACTGGAAGTACATGAAATTCTAATGATATTTAATTTCTTTGACGATTTTATTTATATTCTGACACTAAGGAACTGCGTGAATTTGTTATTAAGGAAGAAGTGTTCATTTGTAATCGTTGGGCACAATAAAAACATTTTTTACTCTCTCTGCATTTTATTGGACGTATCCGAATTAATGCAGACAGTAGTCACCCCAAATATTCGTGACAATTGAACTAGGATCGTAATCGAGTGATTAAACTTCATTACACATTGTGAAAATTAGTGACGTTAATTGCACAATGTTACATGTACGAAACGTTCAGACACGTTTCTATGAGGGGGGAGGGGCTCTAGAGTCAAGAGATTCCTACCTTCAGCCTCAGGGCTCGTAATACTAACAATAGAATTCGTTCACACGCTATTTACTTAAAAAATAGTCGGTGTGTGTTGGGAAGAATATGACTTTGTTTATTTTGATTAGGCAAAATATAAACATGCGAAGCGTGTATCGTCACATGGAGTGAACCATTGCAGTTCATACAAAATCATAATTATATCCTTCAAATAATTTAAAAAAGAATAACATTCAAAACATTGTTACCAATTTTTCACGTTCTTGACAACAGACACCATTCTCTACCGCGACAGCATCTGCAATCATAGGGCTCAAAATATTTCATTGTATTCACTGTGGTGGCATCTGTTTCGTTCTTTGGAGTTCCTACAATTACTTGGTAACCCATTCCATTAAAAGCATTTATCACGTCCGTCACTCATTGTCCAGTCGTGCCATTGCTATTCTTGTTGTTGATAAAGACTTCTATTTCTCTTGAGACGAATCTGTCGACGGGAAGTCGAATGCGTGTCTATGACTTTCTGACGATCGAGACGTTACACCAAATAACACTGTCTTTGTCCCCATTCTCCCTAATGCAACGCCGACCAAATTTTCACAAATACCACTTAGCTCCCGGGGGAAGACGGAGCTCACAATAGATCCATCATGATGACGGGGGCTGAGCCGAACGCCCAAACCCAACAGCTCTCGTGTGTTGATCGAATTAGTTACGTATGCATTCACATGTGTATACGTTTACAGTAACCCAGGAAGAAATAATCTGTAACAGCTGATCGATCACACGTCGAAGTAATAGGACAGATAGGGATGGGGTAACTTTTATCCTATCCCAGCTTATCTTTTCGGATGAATTTTCTAGAAATTTTAAATTCAGTAAATAACAGCTAGTCCTTTTGATCGTATGGGAAGCATGCGTAGAGAATCGGAGCAGCTTGTGCAAAGGAGATGTGCGTTCCAGGGACCGAGTAGAGCAGTCAGATAAAAGTTTTAGAAAACGTTAGAAATATGCAATGTGTAAGGCAGATCAAGCTGGAGAAATTGACTAGTACCGGAAATTGACGTGAGTGTTGTCCGCTGTGTGAACGGACTAATTACAGTCAACGTACATTTCTCGTGATTTCCGCGATAAGTTATGAATGTTGTCATCGTGCACCGGAGGCGTTTGTATGGACGGATGGATGTACTTGCGCGACAACCTATGTGAACTGGCTCAGGCCTACCGGCGACGTTCCTGCGTCGCGGCCATGGGTTAACGGGGTACGTGTGGTTAAAACGTAGTCATCGTATTCCGGTCTTCTCACCCTGAAAAGTGAATTTTATCATCGTCACACAGCAATGTATACAGGGACATTGCAAGGAAAACCCATACTTAAGTCTTGGCTCGACCGGAAATCGAACCCGGGGCCGCGTAGGAGAAAGTGAGCACGCTGACCACGAGCCCCGCACTGGTGACGTTTGGCGGCCGGAAATACGCGCGACCCGCACGAACGCGCGGCCTCGATGAGAAGCGTGAACGAGTCCTCAGTTCTTATTTCGTTACCGAGACTGACCAGGGGGCGCAGCCAAGCAGGCCAGACGCGCGACCGATTGCGGCAATTTTAACTTTCGTGGCTCCACACACACACTGCGATCCCGGTGCGTTCATTTACCCGCCACCGAGCCAAGCCATCGGAATGGTTCTGCCACATTAGTGCCAGTGAATCGTCTTCATCACATCATGGTCAGCTCTCATCGGCCGATAAATATGCCAAGCAAGTATCAGTAAGTCACTGTCTATAAGACACACAGTACACATCTATAAGACGTACACAAAACACAATTTGTTAGCAATTTCTCTGCAAACCATAATAGAGTAGGTAACTTATGATAGGTATTAAGGAAAAGTGGAAATGCGTGTACATACATTGTTAATATGAAGTTCAATAAATAAGAATTTGTCCATAAGGGAATACACTTTAAAAGAAATATGTGTGCAATTGTTTATGACTGAACATCCTCACATCATCTCCTACCTAGAGCTGCTATAATCCTCAAGATCTCTAGAGCCCGAGCGACAGGTTCAGACAGCTCATCACTCCACACCCGACATCCGAGCGTTCGTAATTCTGAACTAAATTACATGCCGGATGGTCACCCCACTATAGAGTACTACATCTGTTAGATGTAGAGGTTCAATATCGGGTCAGTACAGAAAGTTATATGTTTATTATTGAAAACCCTTCAAAGCAAGTTTTAATACTTCACAATTTTACTAATTTTGTTATATTATCACATTTAGCAATGAGTAATTAAAATGTATTATTTTTTTGATTGGTTGATCTAATTTCCATCTGCTATTTTAATGGTACGTTACGATGTTATGGAAATTTTCCGACATTTAGCGATGTGTCAATGCACGGGCAATATCCCGGCACTATGCAGGCATTTTTCGGTCGCAAATATTGCTTATCTCATTAGTTTTACCTATCTCTTCCCACCATTGAATACTTTTGACAACACATTCAATTTTATCTGTATTTGATAAAAATGAATGAAACGAAATTATATTATCACTTGCGACGAAGCAAAGCAACGTGAATTTCACTTCACGACAAGGTAATCATTTTGTAGCTAATTTTCTCCCATCTTCTGATTATTGTAAAATGTGCAGCTTAACGATAAAAGAAGCGATGTCTGTTCAATGTCATATTAAAATTATATGCAATATATGCTTAATTTTTTTAGTTTTATAATTTATGCGGAAAGAAACTATTTAGTTTGAAACAGAAAAGCCTAAATATGCATAGAAAACTGTGTATGCGCATTGTGCATGGATTTCTCAAAAAAATATTAAGACGTTGTATACGTAAAAATGAACGGGAAACGTATAGAGTTTTTTAATTGGCATGTTATGAGAAACTATTTAAACAAAATTGAAAACTGTTGGAATATACATGAAGGAGTGTTTGCAAGTTAATCCTGAGTCCCTAATTCTCTTGAGTTTCATCGCAAAGTGTTGGAAATAGTGCATTCTATTAAAATAAGAATTGGATGAACCATTTAATTGCTAATTTAAAAACAAATAAGAACTAATTTTCAATCATTAGTAAAATATAATCCATTTATTGAAGGTATATTAATAGTCTTTTATTACTATCTATAAATAAAGTCGAGCTTCGTGTGTTGTTTTTGCTCATAGACGATATTTCGCGGAAATCTGCGAAGCAGACGTTATTTACAAGTACTTTAGAATGAGAATACTCCCTATATGGAAGACCCTGTACTGCGTCCTCGGTTATTAATTTATTTTCTTTGTTTTTTTAGTTCGTGTCCAGCAAGCAATTTCCGGTGACATATTTATTCCTTGACGCATAGTTCCGTGCTTCGTTTATTCAAGCAGGTTATTAACGATGCTTTTCGAGAGGACGTGTTTTATTTTTAATATGATAATGTCGAAATAATTAATTGATAAATGTCTATAAATTATTTTTTTATTTGTCGAAATTTTGCGTTATTCAATATTTTTCAATTCTACTGTATTAATCCATTGTGCAACCAACGATTTTACCAGACACGCCTATTAAGAGATTAAAGCATGCAGAATCCTCGGAAATAATTAAATTCTCGTATAACAAAGTATGCTGCGCTGCTTTCCCGTAGCTTATTTATGTTCTGCGTTGTTTCCTAACAATGAGCTTTCACGTAATTTTTTTAACTCTCTCTCTTTCTCTCTCTCTCTCTCTCTCTCTCTCTCTCTCTCTCTCTCTCTCTTTCTGTCTCTAATATTTTAAACAATTTGAACGAAGTATTTGCATTGAAAACGCCCCTACATCACCGGCTTTCAGAATTGAATATAATACCAGTGTTTTATGCCTCGCTGAAAACTTTGAAAAACAGTCACATGATTAATGAGTTCAGTGACCTCAATTGATATTTGTCCGTTTTAAAAAGCGTCACAAAACCACAATTTTTTCCCGAGTCTGTGTCGCTTCTCATGTTTCGTAACAACAATAGGGAGGGTGAGTTGGGATGAGGAAGGGTGTAATGTTACTGGGCTTCTATTCATCGTGGTGCATAGAATGAGTAATCAATCAAAGTTCTCTCCAGGTAACTTGGTGTTTGTTTCGTAGCGTAACATGGCCACTTGCTCGTATTTTCATCCTAACTAAATTATATTCTTTTTCACGACTCCCATTTTGAGTTTTAGAAACTTTATCTCAGCGAGTGCATTAATGAGAAATTTGTTGTAGAGTAGCATCAGAACGTCTTGTTGTGACCGCCCTCGAATTTAAAAGTACTGAATACTAATACGATGTCGATAGTTCATTCTATGTATAAAAGTGTGACACGAAGGAAGTACTTTTAATGTTTATTTTTGTCAGAAATGAGGAATAATTATAATTTTAAAAAAAACGCACCACATACAATCTATTTTAGATGATTTCTAGAGAATAATAAATTAATTTTTTCTAAATTTTAGAAAATTTTATGAATATGCAAAAACATATTTTTCGTGACGAATCAGCTTGTTGCAGAAGTAAAAATTAAAACGTTCATACACACAAATTGGCCTGTAACAATAGTTAACACGAACTTTTTGCGAAAAATGCATTCACAAATTATTTCTGACGCATCATAACAATTGCTTCGTTTTCGAGCGACGTTTTTTTAGCTAGAAGGTTAGACATGGATTGTGACTACGATAGAAGGTTCCAGGAATAGAAAATATGCCCGTGTGACTGCAGTGTGTAAGGGTTTGCGTCAGAGCTAGAATGGCACTACGTTATTGAACATGACTTTCAGTTGGGAGTTATGTGATTTTTTTTTTGTTTTTTTGTTTTTTCGTATCTCTTATAGATATATCTCTGGCTCACCGCTCAACCTACGCGCTCGCTGCCTCTCTCGTCGAGGGACTTTGTTTTAAGCCCTTTGTTTGCGTCGCGGAGCTTAACGCGTGATTTGCGATACTTTGCTTGTGCAATGTTTACGGCGAATAGTCATTTGCGTGAAACGACTGCAAGTTGGTTCGTGTGATATTTTGACATGAGTTTACAATTTTTATTCGGGATGTTTCACGCCTTCTCATGTCCTGTAGCGAACCGATCAATACCTGTCAAATGTCGGAGCAGTAACGCAACAAACGGGCTACGAACCCAATGCGATCTTTCGTTTCTTATCCTTGTCCCTTGCTCTTCCGTTGCTGTCGTATACTTTCATGAACTGCACTACGCAAACCGGAAGACATGCCGGGATGTGAATCCTATCTGGGCTGGAAGGCGCCCCATGGTGAGGAGGAGGGGGAACCAAACCAACGTGCAGCTTGGAACCGGAGGAACACTGCTACCTCCTCACAATAACTTACATTGTGCTCACGGGACCCATGTCCAAAGTTATTTTCGAAGCGAGACACAAAATATGCATTCCATTACCGAATGTGACTAACGAATACGAAACTCGAACACATACGTCAACTGGAAGGAAGGAGTTCCTTCTCATCGATTTTCGTTTAATTCCATATTTCCTATTGCAACAGATTTTTATTAGTTTACATTTCCATCAGACCAAAATTAGCGCAGTTGGTAGTTCAAGGGCTAGCTTTAATTCCAAGCAATAAGCTAGTAATGGAGTAAACCAAGAAACCCATCCCGACGTTTTAGAATAAGATATATCCCCGTAAACTGTCCTGCATTATGAATCATTATATTCTATTGAAACTTTATATTCAAAGTTCCATAATGTATTTGATTCCTTTCTAGAATCCAATAAATTGACAAATACGTATGACACCATTCTTTCTCAGTTTATAAAATACGTTTGCAGTTGAAAAAGTCCCTCTTTCAATGCAAATCACAAACGTCTCAGCCTCTCCCACTCCTTATTCTTCTTTCTCTTCTTCTTCTTCTTCTTCTTCTTCTTGTTCTGCTTCTTCTGCTTCTTCTTCATAAAGTCACTTTCACTCCCAGACCGCCTCCGTCTAAGCTCACACTAACATGAGCTATCGTTAGCAACAGAGTGAAACAATAAATCGAAAACCTTTTCACGAAATTTTCACGGGATACCCCACACATCTATCTCTGCCATATATTTACACACTTTCACAGGCGGTCCCAATCTATTAGTGGTGCTTACTTATCTTGTATTATGTATTTAATTTTTAGGTAATTAAAAAAATTTGTAAATTTCTCTCTAGATGTTTACATGAATAATCGTTGAAGATGACAAACAAAAGGTTTTTATCAAAACGATTGTAGTGAAGAAAGAGGTTTTAACGAATGAATCTGCTTTTATGTATTCCACGAAAATAAACTGTATATAATCAAATTGGAACTATTTCTAAAATATGAATTAGAACTGACATATAATCGTTATTTTCTACATGAATAAATCGATTTTAAATACCAACACTACAGTTTTGATGTCGAAACCAATATTACAGATTCTACAGCAATAATACCATTGTAGGTAATACCCAAACAAAAATACATAGACTTGAAGTATTCCAAATCCCCAGTGACATGGATTTAGAGAGAGAGTCGAGTGCAGTTTCGGCGGCGTCGGCCTACGACTGGTGGTGAGGCGTCGCGAGTGGCGAGCGGCGTTGATATCGGTCGGCCAGCCGGGCGGGATTTTGTCGGGGGCTGGGGGCGGGGGTGGGCGAGGGGGGTGGGAGACAGGGGCGACGGCGCGGCGTCTGCTCGCGTCGCAGATTCCGCGGTGGATCCACTGCAGGCGCCAACCTCTGTGACGCGCGCATCCATCTCGGCTCAAGGTGGCCGTCGCCTTGATTTGTGATATTGCGGGTTTATGCGCCGCCGCCCTCGCCCTCGCCCCTCGCCCCCGCCCTCGCCCTCGCCCTCGCCCGCGGCCGCGCCCCTCGATCTCTTCCGCTCCGCTCCTCGTCGCGCCGCCCTTTTCCGCCCTCGCGCCGCTCCACCGCCCCGCCCGCTCCCTACGCGTTTCCCAGTCACTCAGTGGGCCGAAATGGGGAACAGCACCATTTCTGCTGCCTCAATCAGCATTTCAACAAGTATTACATCGGAGCGAATATGTTGTTAACAATTCTTGCCAAGAACACTCTTAAACACACTTGCATTACACTACCACTCATGACGGGAGACTTGTCGGGAGCTTAGAGCTCATCCCGACTGATCAATACCCCGATGTGCGGAGATAATTAAGTGTGGGGGGAAATCCAACCCAAGCGGATATGTAAGTCAGCGCCAGATTTCACCATCCAATGGGGAAGAAATCACAGCCACCTCAGGCTCAAACATTGATTACAATAACAGGGCTAATCGCAACTAATAACTTTAATAAATATTTTATATTCAGACGTAGACTGAAACAATTACAAAAATGCGTTACTTTTTGCAATACTGTTATAGAATGTAATTTCAAGAACTATTACAATTTTTCGTTCTACAATTCTCCGCCCTCGAGTCGCCCGCCGCCCCGCCATCGCCCCACCCGCTCCCTACGCGTTCAATTATTTTATTTTATGTATCAATATGAATAGCAAAAGAAGGACCTACCAAGAAGAGGTACCGCTGATCTTTAAAATGTATATTCGATTATAACGACGAGAGTGACACCTTCCGCTAAAGCAATTTCTTCCCCGGTGTCCGCCCGCGAATAAACAGGGTTCTTCACTCTTCCATATCACAGTGAATCCATTGAAGGTTAACATTCCAAAAAGTAATTTCTTGTTTCACAGATAAGATCACAAATATAACAGAAATTATGAACGTGAAATCAACACTTAGCTCTACATGGCGTTCCCTTGAACCGTCAAATGTCAGAGTTGATCTAACATTTGACGTTTTCACTCAATATCAATGTTCCAAATGCAGACGTTTATTTCTGTTAGTACCTCCAATGACATCCAATGCGACTCTCTCTATTCAACTTAAGTAAACACCAACAGTATTCAATTTCGATACACTAATTTCATGTTCACTTTTCCCCTTCTTCAGTTCGTCAGTTCAAAATCTCCAAATACCGTCCAATCCTAAAAATTCAATTAGTATTTCCTACATTGATGCATGTTAAAAGAGTCTTTTGGAAAATTCTTAGTAGCGTACTTTGTCGTATTTTGACCCACTGTACGCCCGCCCCGGCCGTCTATAGCGCTCTCGCTCCCCGCGTAACGACGTGGCTTATTCCGACGCCGCGTCCCGCCGTCACACTTGCCAAGTATCGATCAAAAAAAATCGAAAATGTGATGTACGGTGTTCTCTGAAGCTTGCAAAAATGCCCCCGTTATTTTTGCTCCTCCAACCCGTCCCGACGGTCGCCCATTTTCTTTAACCTTTAAATTGAATACTCGATTAAGTCGCAACATCTTGATAGCGCGCGTCGGAATATATCAGTTGGCCCGCCGCTCCTGTTCCATGGAGGGGACGCGGCGATAAAGGGCAGGTGCGTGCGGAAGGGGCGGGGATGAAGAGGCGTCACGAGGTGTGAGGGATGTTCGAGAAAGGTCGGGAAGGGCCGCGTCGGTAACGGTCGGGTGGAAGGAGGCGGCGCTTGGAAGAAAAACGCCAAGTACTCGGAGATGGTCATGGAGTCTATGAGGTGCACGGGGCACAATGGCGCGGAAGCTTTCGAGGCCCCCAGCGTGGGAGACTGTTGCGTCGAATGGAATGTACGAGGGCGAGGGAAGGGATAGGCTGGGTGATACATAGCGAAATAAGTTCAAGGAAGTGAAGATCGTACTTGCTGTCGCGAGGAGGCGAAACAGGGACGGACAGATTGAATGAGTTTAAGCGAAATTAAATAATTACTTAAAGAGATGTTAAAATATTTTTTAATATTCAATGGAATAATTTGAAAAATAGACGTAACGTAGTAACCTATTATAAATCCGCAAAACGTAATTTTTGTGCAGGGTATATTTAAGATTGTGGGTTAACGAATTCTATCACTTAGAAGCTGGGCTTGATTTCCGTGGCAAAGCGTCGGAATGGCGTTCCGGTACCTCAAAAATGAAATAGAAAAGAAGTAGAAGACAAACACTTAGCAGCTTTTCTGTTCAGTTTGACAAAATTTCGTAAACTCAAAATTAAATAATCTTCAATTAAACTGTATCATTTCTACGAATGTAATAAAATTATTAGTATAAAACGATAAAATATCAATCATAAAAACTCTCTTTACTATTTACTATTATTTTTATTATTGTAATATTTTTGATTTATAATTATAAAATTATATTATAAATATAATACTATTTCTATTACAATAATTTGTGGTGTGTTTGTGGAAGTAAAATTGTATAAATATGCACTGCTTAGAAGTATAAATTTATAGCTCTTGTTTATTTCGGGAGAGACAAATACTTATTAATAACAATGATAATTACTCAGAGTACATTTTTAGCGCGAACTCGAGATAGAAAGGTAAAACTGAGATTATGTAAAGAAAGTGTAAGAAAAACTCAGTATATCTTAATATTTGCGAGGTAAAATACTAATGAGATTTGTATTTGTAATTAGACGTGATCCAAAACTAAATAATGGAAATTTCAAAGTTAAAACAAGTATTACCGACGTATAATTCGTGGAATATCAATACGAACTATATCGCAACGTGTAAATAGTAGGGATTATGTATTACTTTAATTATTTAAATCACATCATGTGAGAGTAAATAGAGAATTGCAAAAAGTCAAGGAAGTATTATTAAAGGCGAAAAAAACACGAAGAAACCGAAAATATATAAACCACTTGAATTCCTTTACATGTGTCTCTGGAAGGTGTGTTAATTTCTGAGCAACAGTGCCCTGGCTCCAACTAGAAATCTTGCTTGAGAGGAAAAAATCTTAGAAATAATAAAAAGAGAAGAAGTAGTGAACGGATCCGAAAGAACAAAGGGTTGCGTGGAAAGTGAACTGGAACTGAAAGAGCGAGCTGGAAAGAAGAGCAAACGCCAGCAAGGAATCGCCTACGCGGATGGTGGCATCCAACGGAAGAAGCAGGCGTTCGTTTGAGGGCGCGAATTTCCGAGGGACGTCTCCGTCGAGGTGATACGTCGCGAGACCGCCAC